GCATGCCTGTAGTCCCAGCTACTTGGGAGGCTGAGGCAGTAGGATTGCTTGAGCCCAGGAGTGTGAGGTTGCTGTGAGCTAGGCTGACACCATGGCACTCACTCTAGCCTGGGCAACAAAGTGAGACTCTGTCTCAAAAAAAAAAAGAAAAAAAGAGTATAGATGCAGAAACTGAGGTTCAGTAAGTAACTTCCCTAGGTTAAGTGGATGAACCACTCTTGGAATACAGAGTTATCTTCATGTCTTGTTCCAAAGAAGGAATAGTAGTAAAAAGAATAAATACTCTGTTCTAGTCACCTTCATCTTATCAATAATAGGATATGCCTTTTTGAGGACAGCTGCTTTGTAGGCTCACATCTAAGATTTTCTGGTATTGTCATTTTCTTCAAAAGATGCATATCTTTTGAAGAGCTTACATTATACATATTTATTTTTAGCTGATAAAATGAAACAGGTAATACTATTTATATAATCTTGAAATATAGAGAAGATATTAAACTTTTATTTTGAGACTGTTATAGAGAGAAAAGTTATTACTCTCTTCTTTTCGGGTTTTTCTAATTATTTAAACTCAATGGATCATGTTCTGGCTAATTTTTAAATTTTTATTCCTTCTCATATTTTCCTTTCCTTCTTTTTTTGTTTAGATGCCCCCCATTGATGGATATTACTCTACACATGTTGAATGGGTATCTTCTTGCATCTAAAGCCTACCTTAGTGCTCATCTGAAGGAAACAGCAGAGCAAGATAGGCCTTCCCAGAATAATACAATAGGTTTAGTTGGACAAACTGATGCTCCAGAAGTTACCAGAGAAGAATTGAAAAATGCATTGCTGGCTGCTCAGGTAAATTTTGCTAAAGTAAAATTTAGTAAAAAAGGCCAAGGGCTTTCCTACTCACATAATCAATTAAATTAGATGGCATATTATTCCCTCTGTGTACATTGGTGACATATAGTATATTCCTTCTATTGGAGGATCTATTATAATGATGTTACCTTTGCTCTGTATCAGATGGATTATATTACTGAAATTAAGAATAATCTTCATGATATAAATTTAATAGCCATTTAAATAAGATTTATATTTTAATAAACTATAAGATTTTACCTGTTCTGAGGTTATTAGGCTCGGTCATTCAACAAATGATCTATTCAACACCTACTATGTGCCAAGTACTGTTCCAGGAACTGGGAATATAGTGGTGAAGAAGACAAAATCCTTGGTTATATGTTTCTTAAGATCAAACGATAGGGAAAAAAATCAAAGATGGAGACAGATAGTAAGCAGAAAAACAAATACATATAAAATAGTCAGTGATAAATACTATAATACAAGTAGTTCAACTTTATATTTAGTTAAGGAAAGTTTTATAACAATGTAGAATTTTTTTTTTCTTTTTGAGACAGAGTCTCACTTTGTTGCCCGGGCTAGAGTGAGTGCCGTGGCGTCAGCCTAGCTCACAGCAACCTCACACTGCTGGGCTCAAGCAATCCTACTGCCTCAGCCTCCCGAGTAGCTGGGACTACAGGCATGCCCACCATGCCTGGCTAATTTTTTCTGTATATTTTTAGTTGTCCAGATAATTTCTTTCTATTTTTTTTTTAGTAGAGACGGGGTCTCGCTCTTGCTCAGGCTGGCTTCAAACTCCTGAGCTCAAACAATCTGCCCGCCTGGGCCTCCCAGAGTGCTAGGATTACAGGTGTGAACCACCATGCCCGGCCTATTTTGTAATCTTAACTACTATGTACTTAATAATTTCAAAAAAATGAAAACTATTTGTTAATTTTAAAGTTAATCTTTTAATGGCTTTGTTGTGTCTTCTTTTTGTTGGAAAGCATTTGAACATTTGGTTGTAGCATGGAGGTCCACAGTTTCAGTTGATCCTTTAGATGAGTATCAGTCATTTGTCACCTTAAGGGTGTCTTGATTTGAGTTAGGTGGAAGACTGTAGATTCACAGCAGTAAGTGGTTGAAAAGCAAGAAAGCATTTTTCGAGTATGTTGCTGAAGGCATGGGTATTCTACTGCATTTTCTATATTTCAGTTGGATCTTTCTTAGCATCAAACAATGATTTTAAAATGTCATCTACTAAGAACTCAATCAATTCCATCTGTAGTTCTTTTAGGTGCCTTGGCGACATCAACTAGGTGAGGCTGAAATGCAAATTCGAGTATGATGTCATGATTCTCAAAGTCAATGAACCTTTCATTGTATTCTCCAATTAATAGGTCTATAACAGCTGTGTATTCTCCCAACCATTCGCATATATCATCCTGCTCATCAGTGACCCCTGCTAACTAGGGAAAATGTTCATACGAAATTTCCTTTTGAAGAAGTAGTGTTTTGAAAAAAGATACCTTTTTTTTTTTGAAATGCTTGGATTTTTTTGCCACATATCATATATAGACTTAGTTTTACCTTACAAAAAAATATTCAAGTTGTTTTGATTTGACATGATATTACACAGAAATCCCGCATTCCTATAGAAATCTTCTTTCAATGATTCACACTGGTGATTCTGTTCTTCATAAAATTTAACTATCCGTTCTTGCAGAGAGAAAATTTTGGCTAACACCTGTTCCTGCGATAGCCAATGCATGTTAGAATGATATGGCAAATCCACACCGAATACCTCATGGTTCTACTTTAGCATGTTACGAAACTGATGCTATGTTGCATTTGCAGGAATATAGTTAACAATACTTATAACTTGTTGCAAAGTGTCACTTAAAATAGTAGCTTTAGCACAGAGATTTTACTGATGTAAGATACAATGAAAAGAAATGAGAGGATCTGGATCTGTTAATGCTTTTTTTTAATCTAGGCAGTAAGCTCTTCATGTTTTCCTGCCATGGAAGGTGTACCGTCTGTATATACACTCACCAAATTTACCAAATTCAGTCCAACTTCATGATATTTATCTTGAAAGTTGTTGAAGCTATCCATTCCCCACATTCTGTTGGCAAGAGGGCCCAATGCAAATAACTCTTTGTAGCAAAGAAAATCTTCTGTTATGACTTGAATGAGGTATGAAACTTGCGGTGAGTCAATAGTATCAGTCGATTCATCCAAAGCGATTGAATAATATATATTTTCCTTCTAAAGTATTGCGTGAAGTTGTTCTGTTAAGTTGAAGGCTAATTCATGCTGCCAATCAATTTTGTTTCTCCTTGAAAAGGCAATTGTTTGTACTTTGAAATGTTATCGGGGTCTGATCATCCTACAACTTTGACAATGGATTCCTTTATAATTTCTGCATCACTGAATGGCTTCCCTTTTCCCCCCGAGTATACAAGCTACTTTATAAGTTGCTTCAGTGGCATTATTTCCAGGTCTTATTGCTGTTTGAGGGAGTTGTCTTTGCTTTTGCTTTTCATCTTTTAATTTCTGCAATACAACCTTTCACACCTCCTCCTCTAATTTAAAATATTTGTGGTCCATGTCAGTGTTATAATGCTGATAAACATTGAGTTTCTTTAATGTTGATATTGTAGTATCATAAAGCAAGCAAATCATCTTATTTTTAGCAGAAACAAGATAATACTCCAATTCCCAATCCTTGTTAAAAAATCTGTTTTCTTCCTTCAGCATACTCTTGGTCTTCTTTGACATGATGGGCTGTTAAGCAGACAGAATTAAAAAATACTGTGAAGCTGTGTAACTATTCACAAATTCCACTTCACACAGAAACACAGTGCACTGTCGTCACAAGCTGATAACAGACTGGTGTACTCCACCCTCATAAACTCTTGCCAACCAGCCTCATACAGTAGTGGTGCCAGTCAGGGTGGGGAAGTTAGAACTAAATCATGAGCATAGCAGCCATCAATTTAGCCCTTATGGCTTACTAGTGTTCTAATTGTGTTGATCACTCTAGGAGGATTATTTCATTGAAACTGATTTTATTCTTTGGTATTTAAAATATGTTCATTTTAAAAATAAAAATAAACAAAAATGTATAAAGGGATTTTTTCTGTAAAATTTGGACATTCAGTCAAAAGGCTGCACTTAAGGACCTAGAAGGCCACCCCTTAAGTAGGCTAACCTTACTTCATAATCATTAAGTTCTTAATCATTTAGATCAAGTAGTTGTTTTCTTCTACTTCAGGCAGTGGCTATCTTTCAGAGATGCATGTCGTATATTCAGTTTCTTCTTAAACTCCTTCCTGCTAGATAAGAGTGATTATAGCTTTCCTTTAAATATAGGGGCCTCAAGTATATCACCCCTCAAGCTACTGGTCTGTGAAATGATACTCAAGCTTGTAGGTTGAGCAACCGTGAGTTGTGCAGGTGGAATGGGTGGTAAGGTAGAATCTTCCCTTGTACAACAAGGACCTTAAACAGTCTGTCTTCAGGTTAAAAGGGGAAAGAGCTACGGGAAGTGATTTTTAGGCATTAATTTTTAACTGTTACCTTCAGAGGAATTAATAAGTTGGTAACCAGGTGAGAAAAAGAGGGAAATACAGGATAGGATCCTGGGAAAAGTGGGAGATTAAGAGGAAGGAAAGGAGATTTTGGTAGTCATTTCTGCCTAGGGCCTGTTTTGGATGTCACTGAATCAGAATAGCCTTCTAGTAGATGTTCTTCAACTGGAGTCCATGGATCTGCCTTAGAAGAAATGTGACCTACCTGACATTATGCAATATGTTTGTTTATATATGTTAATTTTTATGGGGAGAGGGTATATAGTTTTCTTAGGATTCTTTAGGGGTTCATCACCCTAAAAAGTTGAGAATCATTGCTCTATAGATTGCTCACTTCTGCTCTTAGAAGTACCTCTTTGTGTGTGTATGTTTTTTAAGAAATTGGTTGTTTTTTTATTTCTGTTCATGTGAAAACAAAATCAGATTTGCTTTTCAAACCAACTTCTCAGAAACTTTATATTCACTGTGTTTTATTTGCTTACAGGATAGTGCAGCTGTCCAGATTCTCTTAGAGATTTGCTTACCTACTGAAGAGGAGAAAGCAAACGGTATCAATCCAGACACCTTGCTAAGGAATGTTCAAAGTGTTATTACCACCAGCACTCCAAATAAGGGGATAGAGGAAGGAGAAGACAATTTGCTCTGTAACCTTCGAGAAGTTCAGTGCCTTATCTGTTGTCTGTTGCACCAAATGTACATTGCAGATCCCAACATTGCTAAGCTTGTTCATTTTCAGGTCTGTTTCCAAAGAATGATGTTTTGTGGTTGACCTTTATTTTTCTTGAGAACTTTGAATACTACATTAATAGGGATCTTTAGAAACTAGAGATAACACAAGTGATCATGGTCTTTTGCAATTTGGAGAAAAATCCAGAGTTTTGAAGTTTTTTTTTTCCCAACCTAATAAAGTATTAGATAATTTATTCCTATTCTAGTGCATCAAAAAAGTGAAATGCCAGGATACATGTAGGGCAATGTAGCCTTCTGAGCAACTTTTACACAAAGGAAGTGAAACTTTTCATTTATATTTTCTCTGTATTTGACTTATTTCTAACTTTTCCCCCCTTTCTTGTTGATTTAGGGTTATCCATGTGAACTTTTGCCTCTGACAGTCGCAGGTATTCCATCTATGCACATCTGTCTGGATTTCATACCTGAGCTTATTGCACAGCCAGAACTTGAAAAACAGGTAATGAACATTTTGGAGCTTTAAGACAATTGATTTCTCTTCAGTCTTGCAAGTTATATAAAACATTTTATAATTTTTAATACTTAAAGATATTCTTGAGAAGTGTGTAATATTTGGATTTTGTATTGCAGATATTTGCTATCCAGTTGCTTTCTCACTTATGTATCCAGTATGCATTACCAAAGTCACTTAGCGTGGCTCGTTTAGCTGTAAATGTCATGGGAACTTTGCTAACGGGTATGTAGCCAATCAACATCAACAATGAAGACTTCTCACATAAATTAGTACATATAGTTTCTGAATTTAGTGATACAGTATGTTTTTTGTTTCACTGTGAGGCAATATGATATGTGTTACTACTAGTTTAATTTATACCATCTTTTGAATTATTCTACTTTTGAAATTTTTTAAATTTACAAATGTGGTTTATAGTGTAGCAGGTATGAATAGGTAGGAAAATTGTTTCTTTCATTTTGTGAAAGAGTATATAGACTTATGGTAAATATAATATGCCTTCCACATTTTATAAATAGAAACCAAATCTTTCTGAATGTCATTATGTCAGTAGAAAACAAGTTAGGGTTTATTACAAATGGTCAGAGTCCAGAAAATTATAATCATACATATAAATAAGAGATAAATATAGTAGTTGTTTCCTTAAGTTAGTTCTAAAACATATCCTAAGATTTTAACTACCTTATGGTTTATAGAGTAAAAGGTATAAAAATAAACTTTAAAATATGTGAACTACAGTTCAATCCTTTAAAGTTATGGTTTAGTTAATTTAGTATTCTTTCTCAGTGTTCACATAATACCCTGTTCATTTTTCTTTATATTGTGTTCACCTCATGTTATAATTATTTGTAGTGACTAAGAAATTTACACTGCTTGAATTCAATCCCACCTCTACCACTAACTGGCTGTGTGACCTTTAACAAGTTTCTTAACCTCTCTAAGGCTTATTTAAATGAGTTTTTGCCTATGTAAAATAAGTGTCATAATAATACTTTCTTCATTTATAAGATTATGAGAATTAAATGAAATAATGCACGTAATGCACTTATCACAGTGCTTGGGCATAATACGAATTTATATCTTCGATAATGACTGAGACTGCTAGATTGTGAGCTCTCTGAAGGTAGGGGCTGGCCATGTCTTAGAAAACAGTCTCTCTAGCACAGCTTAGTATGTTATATAGGCTGTGTATGTTGAATTTATATCTGTAAAGTAAAAAATTCTGTTTCATTTCTTTCTAATAGTTTTAACACAGGCTAAGCGGTATGCTTTTTTCATGCCAACTCTGCCATGTTTGGTCTCTTTTTGTCGAGCATTTCCTCCACTGTACGAGGATATTATGTCTTTGCTGATCCAAATAGGACAAGTTTGTGCCTCTGATGTTGCCACTCAGACAAGAGACATTGATCCAATTATTACACGTAAGTGGTAACTCATTTTCAAGAGTTATCTTAATACTTCAAACAAAAAGGCCAAATTCCTTTCCAGATTTCTGGGTCTTAATTCTTCTTTCCTTATGCTTTTAGGTCTTCAACAAATAAAGGAGAAACCAAGTGGATGGTCTCAAATATGTAAAGATCCGTCTTACAAAAATGGATCCAGGGACACTGGGAGTATGGATCCCGATGTACAGCTCTGTCATTGTATTGAAAGCACAGTAGTTGAAATAATAAACATGAGTGTTACTGGAATTTAAAAAAATTTAAAACAAAGAAATGAAGCTGTTTGCTGCATATACCCAACATGAATCTGCATCTTATAACAACTCTAAACTGAAATGGGAACAGTAATATCTTAGAATCATTAAAACAATTCAGTTCAATATGAATATAATTTAGAACTCTGAGAATTATGCTTGCATGTATTTGATTGGTACACCTTTGGATCTACTTTCCTGGTATGTTTATATTGTAGCAGCTGAGATTTTTTTCCACTGGGAACACATTTAAGAGACTCATTACAGGGAATTTGGCCTTGTATTTAGCTTTTGAAGTGAAGAAAGACTGCCATGCCTTTCATTTCTTGTACAGATGAGCCCTAGTAGTGTTTATTTTAATTGTGAGCTTGTAACAGAGTTCAAAAAAGATGCAATGATAGGAGGGAGAAAAAGGTATCAAGAGAAAGGAGAGGGGCCGGGCGTGGTGGCTCACGCCTGTAATCCTAGCACTCTGGGAGGCCGAGGTGGGCGGATCGTTTGAGCTCAGGAGTTCGAAACTAGCCTGAGCAAGAGCGAGACCCCGTCTCTACTAAAAATAGAAAATAAATTAATCGGCCAACTAAAAATACATAGAAAAAATTAGCCGGGCATGGTGGCGCATGCCTGTAGTCCCAGCTACTCGGGAGGCTGAGGCAGAAGGATTGCTTGAGCCCAGGAGTGTGAGGTTGCTGTGAGCTAGGCTGACGCCATGGCACTCACTCTAGCCCAGGCAAAAGAGTGAGACTCAAAAAAAAAAAAAGAGAAAGGAGAATTGAGGAAAAATTAGGAGTTAAATATCCAAATAGAAATCTCAGACTTGCAGTGTAAGTAATAATAATGCAAGTTGGAATTCTAGTTCTCAAGAAACAATATTGAGAAGGCTTTAAAAAAGGCAGGTAGCTTTTATAATTGTTTTCCATGGAATACAGATGAGGATTTAAAGATTTCACGTATTTGCTTCAATTTTTACTAATATATGAAGCCATATGTTTAAAGAGATACTTGAATAATTTGGAATTTTAAGATACTGGTTTAAAAGTGTTTACAGAAACATCTTTGTGCAAAGAAGAACCTGAAAGGAGGTCTCATTTAGTTTTTTGTTTTAAATTTATTTTTATAATGCTTTATTAACTTATCTAATGCTCAGAGGGGAGAAATATGTATCAAATTAAATGATGTTTAGAGCAATAAAACCCACTGGATTAAAGAGCTCTTGGTTTGTCATCAGGATTATAATTCACATCTTAACTTTGAGAAGTTCTTTAAGTAAGAAAATATATACAGTGTTTGAACCTCAGGAAAAATTAAAATGTGGAAAATACTGTCTTGCTGAAAGATTTCAGTCCTCTGTTAGTAACTTCTATTGATTAGGCGGATGCATTCAGGTAACCCATAATCCTTCTTTTTAAAATTAAGTATCCATTGTAGAAGGTACTTCTCTTTATTCTCTGAGATATACCTCAATCACACACTTTTTCCCCCTACTCAAAATAGACCTCTTCACTTGTAAAAGAAGTTAGATAGGCTAATAAATGTGGTTTTTAAGAAACTTAACTTCAGCCTTTTCACTAGCAAATAGTCACATCTCATTTTCCTTCTCTGTAAAATGGGGTTACTACTGGCCCTACCTCATAAAGGTATTCTGTAAGAACTAGTTTGTAGCCGTTTCAAATCATGAAGTGCATAGTATCATATGTGATAGAATATTTATAACTTTTTATTAGATGCTTAATGTTCAATTAAGTAATTTTGATGTGAAAAACAAAAGCATATGCTTAAAAAATACCATAAGAATTTCATATTTTTAAACAAGGCAGTTTTGTAAGTCCCATAAGATTAAATACAAATCCAGTTTTGTTTTTTTGGTAACTGCGGCCTTGAAATATTTTGTGTGAATAGGGATCCCTTAGGGGTTCAGGAAAAGTTGAAGTATGTTTTCTAGCTAAATGCAGTGCACATTCCTGGATTGATTTTCAAAGACTGGTCATAACCTGATGTGTTAAAATATAACATATGCTGTTTTTCATCAGATTTGTTGATGATGTAAATAAAATGTGTAAATATATCAGTAAATGCTAATATTCATGTATTTTAAGTTAAGGTTATAAAATTTGTCACAATGTGATTTTTTTATTCAAGTGAAAACAGATGTGTGCAGCTATTTTGAATATTTGTTTATAAACATTCATATTCTTTATCAAATGAACTTGTAGTTTTTTGTGTTTGATTCCACTACTGTTAACCTGAAAGGGACATTCAAGGGATTGGATGCCACGACTGTCAGGCTCCAGGGCCTATGTGCATCCCTTTCTCTTCTGTCACATACATTAAATGGCAATACAAATTTAGAGCCAACTAACAGTAAATTACTCCCTCATATTTTCTTATCCACATATATTTTCACATTACTGAATTTCTTTTTTTCTGAGACAGAGTCTCACTCTGTTGCCCAGGCTAGAGT